ACTGCCAACTTTTCTCGTTCAGGAAAAATTGCCACTTATTTCCCAACCAAGTATTCCAAAGTAAAACTTTGCTCAACTTTAACTGGCTGTACTGGAAAAAATGTACTACGAGAGTTTGGCAAGTAACCTTAAAAGTTGGCGCATTTAATAACGATTCCAAAATGGTATAACACTTAGAAGATTACTCGTTAACTTATGCACAATTTTTATTTGAAAAAAAAACTGATGAAATTTTTTCAAAATTTCCTAATTAAACAGCGATTATGAAAACGCACAAGGACCCTTAAGGATAACTGTTTGCACAACAGTGGGCGTCAAAATACTGCTGATGATGATTTACCTTTACAGCAAATGCTCAAACTGTTTTCCTTCAGCCGCAATACACGCTCGACATTTTCTTAAAAAAGATCGGGTTATTAAACGAGCGAATCCACGGTTATTAAAAAACTCAGCTGCTTCCAATAGTATTTGCCGTAGCTCAGCTACATTTTGAATCGGCTTGAAATACACTTTTTCTTTTACAGTTCCCCAGTAAAAAAATCTAAAGGATTCAAATCAGGTGATCGGGCTGGCCACGGTATTGTACCAGACCGCCTTATCCATCTGCCTGGAAAGTTTTGATCGAGATACTCTCTCACTGAGAGTGCATAGTGCGCTGGGCAGCCATCATGCTGAAACCACATGTCCCTGTAAATACTCAGTGGCACGTCCACCAATAAATGTTGTACATGATTTTTCAAAAAATCCAAATTAACTTCAGCAGTCAAAGTCTCTGGGAACTCAAACGGACCGATTATTTTACCATTTAAAATTCCTGTCCAATGGTTTATCTTGAAGCGATATTGAGATTTATCTTCTCTCATCAATTGTGGGTTTGCTACGTGCCACTCGTGTAAGTTATGCAGGTTCATGTACCCATCTTTCTTAAATGTGGTCTCATCCGACCATAAAATTTTTTCAAAGAACTGTGAATCTTTCCTGTGTCTTTCTAACATTGTGCGACAAAAAGCAACTCGGGGCTCATAATCCCGGGGCAGGAGAAGTTGAACACGCTGTATGTGGTATGGATGAAGCACATCACTTACTTGCTATTGCACACTTTGATACCGATCAGTACTCCTTCGTTTACTGCGCATCTTTACATGTTCGTGCTTGTTACTAATTTTGGATTCGTGAACTGGACTGTTGATCGCTTGTGATTTGGATTTGGACTGTTTAATTGCTCTTCAAAACAACATTTGCTTTCCTTAGACTATCTTTGATAGTGTGATTGTGCAGTGCCGCTATGTCCGTGTACACCGTACAAGAATATGCTAACATGCACCTCATTTATGGGGAATTCACATGCAACGCTAGTGCTGCAGCGAGACTTTACTGTGAGAGATACCCGAATGCAGCTCGTCATCCAGATCATCGAGTGTTCACACGGTGAGGGAAGATCTTTCCTTCCTTACTTCAGTGCATGCAATAGAACTAAAAACAGGTGTGCCCAAAAGTACAGCCCATAGAATCTTGCAAAAAATCGTGCTCCATCCATACCACGTACAGCGTGTTCAAGCTCTTCTGCCCCGGGATTATGAGCCCCGAGTTGCTTTTTGTCGCACAATGTTAGAAAGACACAGGGAAGATCCACGGTTGTTTGAAAAAATTTTATGGTCAGATGAGACCACATTTAAGAAAGATGGGTACATGAACCTGCATAACTTACACGAGTGGCACGTAGCATACCCACATTTGATGAGAGAAGATAAATCTCAATATCGCTTCAAGATAAACCATAGGACAGGAATTTTAAATGGTAAAATAATCGGTCCGTTTGAGTTCCCAGAGACTTTGACTGCTGAGATTTATTTAGGTTTTTTGCAAAATCATTTAGAAAATTTATTGGAGGACGTGCCACTGAGTATTTACAGGGACATGTGGTTTCAGCATGATGGCTGCCCAGCGCACTATGCACTCTCAGTGAGAGTGTATCTCGATAAAAACTTTCCAGGCAGATGGTTAGGGCGGTCTGGTACAATACCGTGGCCAGCCCGGTCACCAGATTTGAATCCGTTAGATTTTTTTTACTGGGGAACTGTAAAAGAAGAGGTGTATTTCAAGCCGATCCAAAATGTAGCTGGGCTACGGCAAAGACTATTGGAAGCAGCTGAGTTTGTGGATTCGCTCGTTTAATAACCCGATCTTTTTTAAGAAGATGTCGAGCGTGTATTGCGGCTGAAGGAAAACAGTTTGAGCATTTGCTGTAAAGGTAAATCATCATCAGCAGCATTTGACGCCCACTGTTGTGCAAACAGTTACCCTTAAGGGTCCTTGTGCGTTTTCATAATCGCTGTTTAATTAGGAAATTTTTTGAAAAATTTTCATCAGTTTTTCTTCAAATAAAAATTGTGCATAAGTTAACGTGTAATCTTCTAAGTGTTATACCATTTTGGAATCCATATTAAATGCGCCAACTTTTAAGGTCACTTGCCAAACTCTCGTAGTACATTTTTTCCAGTACAGCCAGTTAAAGTTGAGCAAAGTTTTACTTTGGAATACTTGGTTGGGAAATAAGTGGCAATTTTTCCTGAACGAGAAAAGTTGGCAGTAAGGTTGAGACACCAGTTTGAAGATGCATTATTCATCATTACATTGTAAAAATAAAATCCAAAAAAAGTTAATATTTGTAGTAACAGGAGTTGACAGACTACCGTAGGGTGTGAAATTTCTATATTTTCTTCAAAGACCTATAATTTTCAAAACACATACATAAAATTTTTTTAAATATTTTTCTGATAGCTGTTATGACTTTGCCTATCACCCGGTTTCGGCTTGACGTCGACTTCTGGGACACCCTGTATATTCTATCTGTGCCTATGGATTTAGGATTTTTTTTCGTGAAAAGTTGAAGAAGTTGTTTATCCCAAAACTCCTGTTTTCCGGCCAACACTACTCTGTCGCGTACGATGCGCGCTACTCCCTGAAATTTGGGAAAAAACTTTTTTCGTGCAGAGTTAAAGAAGTTGGTTAATGTGCTTTTCAGGGTTCAAACTACACCATTCCCCTAAATTTCAGAAGTAGTGCGCATCGTGCATGACAGGCTTCTTTCTTTGGAGCTCGGGTGTAAGGCCGTTTGTAACTACTTTTTGATAACTGATTATAATAGCTCTTGTTGTGTAGTTTGAACCCTGAAAAGCACATCAACGAACTTCTTTAACTCTGCACGAAAAAAGTTTTTTTCCCAAATTTCAGGGAGTAGCGCGCATCGTACGCGACAGAGTAGTGTTGGCCGGAAAACAGGAGTTTTGGGATAAACAATTTGAAATTCTCAAAAAACCACTTGACCAATCTACTCCAATTTTGTTGTGGTTATTTAGAAGTACGAATCCTACGAATCTGAAGAATTTCAAATATTTTCGAGAAACCATCGTCGCATTACCAACAAGTGCCAAAACCTGCAGTTTGCTTTGGTTTTCGGCCATAACTTTTTTGCTATTAGTCGGATCTTTTTACGTGTCATCTCATTTTGTAGGTCTCATACTACCTAAAAACTTATATGAAGAGTTTTTTCGCTCCTGTCAGCTTTTTCGATTGAATCCCAAAAAACACGTTTTCTCATTCTTAGTTGTCGAATAAAAAGTTTTCCCACAATGATTGGCGTACCCATTTTATGCGTCCATGTTTTGAATACCCCGTTGGACAACTTGCAGCAATAAAACCAGACTTTACAATTATTCTTTTGGGTGTGGATTAAAACACTGGAGAAGAAGACCAGGACTACTGCCTTACATCTATATATATATCGTGACAGTGGATCGCCTTCTAGATCGACGCGAAGTGACCTCCTATATTCTAATAAATAAATTGGTGCATTGCTCCGATAAATCCAAGGTGGGGTACTGTTTACACGCTCCGTGAAATTGTAACAATTCCTTGTCACATTCTATCGTCTCCAGCTATAGACCCCATAAAATGCTGTAGCCATGGAGGAAGCAGTACTACTGTCAGTATTAATCGGATGTTTAGTGAGTAAAAAAAAGGAAAAATCGCGGAAACCCAGATCCAAGTGGAGTCGCGAGTGGTTACTGAAGAAGAGTGAATTCTCTGATGTGAACTTATTGCAAGAAATGAGTAGTGAGTCAAATGACTGGCGAAATTATTTGAGGATGGACGAGGGGACTTATTTTGAGTTGTTAAGCTTAGTTTCTCCGTTGATTGCGAAACATGATACTGTAATGAGAAGAGCGATATCCCCTCACGAAAGACTCTTAGCTACCTTAAGATTTCTGGCCACCGAAAGAACCTTGAAGGACATGGAATATTCTACTGCGATTTCTCAGCCAGCTCTCAGCTCAATAATTCCAGAAACCTGTGAAGCTATCTACAAAGTATTACAACAATACATCCAGGTATGCTTTATGTATTATAAAACATATTTGTCTATATATTAGTTTTTAATTTTCTTTTAAAGTAACGAAATGTAATACATATAAGGTGAATAATCATGGAATGTGAAACATTAATGTCTTTCTATGCCGAGAAATTTGAAAAGAAGGCTGAAGCATTGTTGAGTTGTTGTGATTCTGATTGGTGAGCATTGGGTTGTTCAGGTTTATTTGTTTGAACGTTTGGTAGTGTCACGTTAGAGACTTCAGGAGTATCATGGTTGAGAGTTTGGAGGTATAATGCTGGAGCGTTTGGGAGCTATAGAATGTTATCACTGGAACAACGAGGATTGTGTTGTTGAGGGTATGGTTGATGGTCGGGCATTCGTGAGATGTACGGTGGGGGGTAGGGTTGCTGTCGGTAAAGTTGGGGGTTGAATTGTTGATACTCATTACTTTCGAATGAACGGTGTGGTTAAATTTTTGTTACTTTAAAATCTTTGGTGGGTGCCTCAAGCTCCCCCTCAAAAATCACGTCATTTATGAGTTTTCTAGCGAATATGGCCTGGAACTCATCATCAGTACGAATCGAGGTACGAATACTTTGTAGCTGCTCTCCCGCAAGCTGTATCACCTCATCTGCCGGAGTCAGAAGCTTTTTCTCTTACATAGCGTCTTTGGTACCCTCGATATAACTGTTGATGATGACACACTTAGTGATGTGCTTGATCCATCATCACCTGATGTTGGAAGAGCCTGATCTCCTTCTTGGGAATGGGGTAGATCAGTAGGTTCTGAATCCTCCTGTTGGAAATAAAACAAATATCAGTTTCCAATAAACTTATGAGTAGATACATTTGGCAGGTGAAAGAAACAGTTCTTCACCTATTTCCGGGAAAATAGATTTGTAGATAATATTCAAGTTTATATTAATTTAACTTATGTTTTTCTTTGTATTCAAATCTGTAATTTGAAATTGAGAGTAGTGTCAACACAATAACACATTTTGTGTGTGTATGTGTCTATCAAAAACAATATTTTTTTTCAGTTCCCTAAAACAGCCGATGAGTGGTACAAAATTGCCCTAGATTTCGAAGAGAAGTGGCAATTTCCTCATTGTTTGGGCGCGATCGATGATACAAGAAGAAAGACGGTATAGTTTTGATGGCTATAGCAAACGCTCACTTCGAATTTATACTTTGTGATATAGGAACGAACGGTAGAATATCTGATGGAGGTGTGATTAGTAACACTCGTTTTTACGACAAACTTACAAAAAATCAACTTAATATCCCTGGACCCGAACCAGTTAGCTTTGATCTTGACCTGCCATATGTTTTTGTGGGGGATGATGCCTTTGCATTAAGACCTGATCTTATTGAGCCTTACGGTCGGGATTCCCTTAACAACGAGAGAAGAATATGCAACTATCGTATATCGAGAGCACGGCGAGAAGTTGAGAACAGTTTTGGACTTTTAGCTTCACGTTTTCGTGTTTTTTACACTGCAATCAGTTTAAATGTAGATTCCATCGAATCACTAGTTTTTGCTTGCTGTGCATTGCAGAACTTCTTGAGGGCAAAATCATCTACTTACTCTTCTCCTGAAAGTTTTTATCGAGAAAATATTATTGATGGTACCGAGCCACCAAGTACAATGCCTGATACTGATATGTTCCACAATCTCGGAAAACGTTCAGGATGTCAAGTTTTGCAACAAGCGAAAACCGTTCGACACAAATTCTGTGCGTATTTTAACGGGGAGGGGTCAATTCCTGCGCAAGAAACATTTGCATTGATTGTTTGAAATTTAAGGTTCATTAGTTAAAACCATATTATATAAACAAGATATTTTGAGATACAGGGATATTCTTTAATAAGTTTGTGCCGTCAACATGTACTTGTTATAACAATAAATTTTGCTATATCTAAATAAAAATTCATTTTTACTTACATCTTGTTGTGTTTCTTGATCCGCATCACTCATTGTACTCGTATTAGGTCTTGCAGAGTCCTGGTCTCTGAAAAAATGCAGCAGGTCGAAGTACCACAACGTAGGTTTATAGATGTCATCCGCACCTGTCCCGGATTTTTCCGATTTGTAAACTTTAGCCAATTCTTTTTTATAGACCGTACGTAAAGCATTAATTTTTTTAACAACAGTGTTTCTATCCGTCGATGGATCAAACTCCTGGTATTTTTTCACCAACTCAATATAAGCTAAATCTTTTTTATTCCTGTCAGAATGTTCTTTGCTCTTGACTCGCCGCAACCACGTAAAACTTTGATAAAGATCAATGAACTCTGTCAAAAACTCTCGATGAGTTTGTTTCGGTGCATCTGCCATAGGTGCGTCTGCCAATTCGTACCAAAAAGGAAAACTAAATTGACTCCGTACGGCCAAAACGCAAACTGAGTTAAATTGTAGCGACAAATCGCTACCCGGCAATAGGTGAAGAACTGTTTCTTTCACCTGCCAAATGTATCTACTCATAAGTTTATTGGAAACTGATATTTGTTTTATTTCCAACAGGAGGATTCAGAACCTACTGATCTACCCCATTCCCAAGAAGGAGATGAGGCTCTTCCAACATCAGGTGATGATGGATCAAGCACATCACTAAGTGTGTCATCATCAACAGTTATATCGAGGGTACCAAAGACGCTATGTGAGAGAAAAAGCTGCTGACTCCGGCAGATGAGGTGATACAGCTTGCGGGAGAGCAGCTCCAAAGTATTCGTACTTCGATTCGTACTGATGATGAGTTCGATGCCTACGGAAAGTATGTAGCTCATAAGCTACGTTTTCTTAGAGGAAACCAGGCCATATTCGCTAGAAAACTCATAAATGACGTGATTTTTGAGGGGGAGCTTGAGGCACTCACCAAAGATTTTAAAGTAACAAACATTTAACCACACCGTTCATTCGAAGGTAATGAGTATCAACAATTTAACCCCCAACTTTACCGACAGCAACCCTACCCCCCACCGTACATCTCACGAATGCCCGACCATCAACCATACCCTCAACAACACAATCCTCGTTGTTCCAGTGATAACATTCTACAGCTCCCAAACGCTCCAGCATTATACCTCCAAACTCTCAACCATGATACTCCTGAAGTCTCTAACGTGACACTACCAAACGTTCAAACAAATAAACCTGAACAACCCAATGCTCACCAATCAGAATCACAACAACTCAACAATGCTTCAGCCTTCTTTTCAAATTTCTCGGCATAGAAAGACATTAATGTTTCACATTCCATGATTATTCACCTTATATGTATTACATTTCGTTACTTTAAAAGAAAATTAAAAACTAATATATAGACAAATATGTTTTATAATAGATAAAGCATACCTGGATGTATTGTTGTAATACTTTGTAGATAGCTTCACAGGTTTCTGGGATTATTGAGCTGAGAGCTGGCTGAGAAATCGCAGTAGAATATTCCATGTCCTTCAAGGTTCTTCCGGTGGCCAGAAATCTTAAGGTAGCTAAGAGTCTTTCGTGAGGGGATATCGCCCTTCTCATTACAGTATCATGTTTCGCAATCAACGGAGAAACTAAGCTTAACAACTCAAAATAAGTCCCCTCGTCCATCCTCAAATAATTTCGCCAGTCATTTGACTCACTACTCATTTCTTGCAATAAGTTCACATCAGAGAATTCACTCTTCTTCAGTAACCACTCGCGACTCCACTTGGATCTGGGTTTCCGCGATTTTTCCTTTTTTTACTCACTAAACATCCGATTAATACTGACAGTAGTACTGCTTCCTCCATGGCTACAGCATTTTATGGGGTCTATAGCTGGAGACGATTGAATGTGACAAGGAATTGTTACAATTTCACGGAGCGTGTAAACAGTACCCCACCTTGGATTTATCGGAGCAATAAATTTGCCAATCACATCATCGATAAATCGCGACGATATCTCGTAACGTGTAATGCCGCCTTTATACAGCAAACAACTCGGGCACCAATTCGATAAACGGGTAGGTCAAAACAGCTCCGTTTGTCTTTACCCTTATTCGGTCCGCTGTAACAGGGGGGTGAAACTCATATTGGCGAATGGGAAACCGAGCAGTGTTGCTGGTGCATAATATGACAACCATGTCGCACCCTCAAAAAATGGCGACTTATTCACAACTGACGTTGTCCGATTGGCCAGATTTAAATTTCCGGCGGGTTTCTTCCTGTGCTCTGTGCTTTGCAAAAATAACCTTACTTTTTCAGCATGTCATTTTAATTAAATAAGGTCCCTATTTGAGCCATATGAATTTTCATTGGAGTTGCGAAGTACACAAAGCTGTAATACCTATGTTTGTAAATACTATAAGACAAACTCCACATCAAAACTTTCTTTTTCAAGGTGATACAAGTCATTAGCCAGGCTTCTGGCAGATCCTGAGGAAGATCAGAGATGTAGCGTTTACTCATTTTAGGAATTTAATATTTGAAGATCGTACCTGTTTGTATCTCCACATCACTCTTTGAACAGTAGAGCGCCACGAAAAGTTCAATAGCTGCCGTTGTCAACCCCTAAGGTTCTGAGAATTATCAGAAGCTCAGAGATTACTTCTGATGTTACCAAAAGGCTCAGCTCTGAAGGATATTTGCAGAACACAACATTTGTAAGTTTTTACTACTTTTTGTTCAAGTTAGTTTTCATACTTTGTTTTAAATCAGCTATTGTCAGAGCAGTAGGGTTGATATGTAAAGATCACTATAATTTTAATGAAATCAAAGCCAAGTATTGTTATTGAACAAATAACAGGGGGGATGTGGTAACAGTTATTTCCTGATGTTGATCAGCACATCTGAGAAAAATTCCTGTGGGTACCCATGGACAATCATATTATTGTTCTAATAAAAAAAGAAATCTGTGAATTGTAGAAACATCGACACAATTCAATTTTTTTCTAATTTTTATTTTCCGCAGGTGCCAACAAAGGCTGGGGAATGCAAACATCTGGACCATAATGATGTTAATACGAGATTTATATAACAAATATATATTTAGGTATATGTTTTCTTCTGAACCTTTTCAGATTAGTAAGTAGATATGATAGATATCTTATAACAGCTTGTGTTATTGACGTTGCTATTTTAACATACAAAAAAAATCATTTATTCGTCAAGATAGCGCAAAATGTTAATGACACATGCTGTTATAAGATGTCCCATATCCCACCAAATTTCTATATATGTATATAGAGCAGTAGTCATTGCCAAAGCCAACGACCAGTTGGGTACAAAATACAATTACTTGTTAATTGGGAACTTGGCAAAACTTTTAGACTTAAGTTGACTCTTTTGACGATAAAATCAAGCTTTCGGCATTCTCTATGGAGCCTTCATCAGGATTCTGAAAACACAATTGTGATGCTAGCAAAGAAAACAGGACAGATTTAAAATGTCAGACAACTTACTCGTCGGTGAGGTTGCAGCCACAAGGTGTTTCAGAACGAACGTAGAGAAGATCGAACTTGTGATCAGTATAAAAACAAAAGGACGGGGACATTGGGCTTGTTGAAAAACGACAGATACCTTCGTTAAAAATTAAAAAATTATATCAATACACCCGAACAAGTGAAAAATATTACACGTGAGGAGACATTTTGTTGAAACAATCGGAATGCAGTCCCTAACCTTCTACTACCGCTACACGTGGAGAGGGGGAAGGCACGGAAAGGTAAAGCATCGACAGATGACAAGTGATTGACGCAACGGACCGTGGAAATGTACACCTCTCTGTCCAACTTTGGGTATGAAGTATACGAGGGACGCTCTGTAAACCTCCTCCCAAAATTACTAAAATGCTGAAATAACTTGTTTTGGAAAAAAGTGTGCAGTTCATATGAGTGCAGAATGTGTGATATTGATACAATCTTGAAAAGATGGGTTATGTGAATTTATATTAAAAATGTGAGTGAGAAAATGTGTTCTAATTTTGTGATAATGTTGGTTCAATTTGGATATGTAGCCGTTCTAGCTTTTCGCAATTCAACAGGTAGGAATAAATGACACTGAGCTGCTTAACATCAGCCTTTTCATTCATGCAATGATCTGTCATGAAAATGTGGGGCATTTCTAAAAATAAACGTTTTGAGAGTCTTTTTGTTTCTTTATCAAGAACCTCAATACTGCCATAATTCAAAGAGTGACCTGTGTTGTTAATATGCGACGCCAAAGCACATCTTTCTGGATCACTTTTGTGTGACGTTATCCTGCCTTTCAGCGACCTAGAAGTTTGGCCCAAATTGATCCAACATCTCCACAAAATTAGAATACATTTTCTCACTCACATTTTTAATATAAACTCACATAACCCATCTTTTCAAGGTTGTATCAATATCACACATTCCTGCACTCATATGAACCACACACTTTTTTCCAAAACAAGTTATTTCAGCATTTTAGTAATTTTGGGTGGAGATTTACCGAGCGTCCCTCATATACTTTATACCCAAAGTTGGACAGGGAGGTGTACATTTCCACGGTCCGTCGCGTCAATCACTTGTCATCTGTCGACGCTTTACCTTTCCGTGCCTTCCCCCTCTCCACGTGTAGCGGTAGTAGAAGGTTAGGGACTGCATTCCGATTGTTTCAACAAAATGTCTCCTCACGTGTAATATTTTTCACTTGTTCGGGTGTATTGATATAATTTTTTAACTTTTAACGAAGGTATCTGTCGTTTTTCAACAAGTCCAATGTCCCCGTCCTTTTGTTTTTATACTGATCACAAGTTCGATCTTCTCTACGTTCGTTCTGAAACACCTTGTGGCTGCAACCTCACCGACGAGTAAGTTGTCTGACATTTTAAATCTGTCCTGTTTTCTTTGCTAGCATCACAATTGTGTTTTCAGAATCCTGATGAAGGCTCCATAGAGAATGCCGAAAGCTTGATTTTATCGTCAAAAGAGTCAACTTAAGCCTAAAAGTTTTGCCAATTTCCCAATTAACAAGTAATTGTATTTTGTATCCAACTAGTCGTTGGCTTTGGCAATGACTATTGCTCATATATATATACTTACATCTCCACGTGGATAGGTCCTCCTTTCATAAACCAGCAATAAGTCACCTACCAGAAATACTAAATATATATCAAATTTAATTCGACACCAAGACAGATTTACAATTACATTAACATTTCGGATTGCCATACAAAGCCCGCTATATAGGTCTCCCTTTCAAAAACCGTATGATGTGTCCTCTACCGGAATACCCTCCAGATAACAAAGCGGCACTAGGTCCTCCAAAATACTCAAATTATCTAAACCCCCGTGCAGTGGAGCCAAGTTTCAGTTATTTCTCTTAAAATAATACAATTGAAGTCTCCTAACTCGGGCTTGTATTATATTACCTTCCAAAGACCTAATGCTAAAAGGTTCATGCATCATTCGAATCGCCTTTCGCTAAGAAATGTTTAAACTTTTTTGTTATAGATAAAATAAAGAAAAAATGTCAATTGGTGCTTTGTAGGGACTGTATGGCACGGCATTCTGAACTAATCCATTGACTCGAAAATGCGCCATACAACTCTGATCTAGCACCAACAGATTTCTAACTTTCCCAAACGTTAAGAAATTTTTCAGTGGAAAGCGATTGGAAAATGATGAATTATGGAATAAACTGTTATTTACGGGTTGAAAAGCTGATGTCATGACTCAACGAATATTAGAATTTTAAGGACAATTATTTTGTTAAGTGGGAACATTGTGATACTTTTGTGATAAAATTTACGTTTATAAACAGATTTCCCTTCATCTCATTGTAAAACCGTTGTT